AAAAAAAATTGACATAAAACAGGTCCTGCTGCAATGAAAAACGAGAGAAATGCCTTTATCTTTTACTTGTTTATTTTTATTCTTAGTTTAATTAAAGTTATTAAACATTGGTAAGTTGACATAATCTGCATTAATTTTTAACCATTGTTAGTGCGAAAATCCAGATACGACTCCCCAGCTTCATCCTTTTTGTAACTCGGTAATTGTTTCAATTTACCATTTTAAAATTGTGTTATTTATGATACATAAATAAATAAATAAATGACGGATTGATTTAGAAATAAAATCTTATATATTTCATTATATAGTAAAAATCAATAACATTAGTTAGAAAGCTGTCGGAAAGCTATTGAGTTGGCATCAATATTTCTATATCATTAATAGTATTTGCTAGTACACTTGGCAGTGCAAGCTAAAATGTCTCTGGTAATGTTTCGTAACCTCTTTGTTCCTCTTCAAGGCCAAGAAAGTGCTTAAGGTTTAATAAAAAAACAAAGTAAAATTGATGTTGTTGGACGTAATCGATATTTATATAAGTTATATACACAAAATAAACCTTCCTTCATTTATATTAGAGTTATTTTATACGCAAATTATTAACAAGTGAGACCTTCATTATTTATATTCTAAGGAGAATCAAACAATCTATTATATTTATCTGTAATTATACTGTTTGCTGTCTTAAATTAAGCTATTTAAGGAAATTAGAAAACAAAATAAAGGAACTTTTTTTGTGTGTAATTTACATTATATAATGTTTTTTAAAGGAAAAGAAAAAATAATTTTATATTCTTATTTCAATTATGTGTCTAGGCATTAAGAAAAAACTAACAAAACAAAATTCAAATACAGTGGAATCCCGGTTAACGAACGCCCTGGTTTAACGATCAAATCGGTTAACGAACTTTTGTTTTGCAAAAATTTTGTCTCGGATAACGAACAAAATTCGGATAACGAACGTAACGGTATTTTGTGTCAAATTTTTGTTGGTGTTAGGCATGCGCGAGTTAAGCATTGCTTTTCCGAGTGTTTGTGCTATACTTCTTTTTTCAGTTTTGTGATTTATATATTTAATCAATACGGCATCAAAGAAAGAAAAAAGTCATAGTGGCATTAGAAAACGACAACGCGCTTTCGCATTTGAGAAAAATTTTGATTAAAAGAGAAAGACAATCAATTTCTTGTTCCTTATGGAAAGAGTTTGTTTGTTTGTTAAGTTATGGCAATGCAACACTTGGGCGCTCTGTCTAGGGGAAATGCCTTCTGGGAGGTGTTTTTAAGGGAAACTGGCCCCTATTTAGGCGTTACAGACGTGGAGAAAACCTGGAAAACTCCACGTGGCCAGCCCGTCTGAGAGAGGTGCGAACCCACGAACGAACTCCCAGTGTTCAAGGTACGAAGACCACTTAGCCACTGGTCGGTTTTTTTTTTACCGAAAAAGACTTCGACTCGAAGAATCTTCTGATGAAGTTCTAACCGTTATTTTTTTTGGAGAGATTCCCCTTCTAAGCATTAAGTTTCGTATATCTCCACTTTTCTGCCACCAACTGCAACAAACGAAGGTATGTACAGTGCTATTTTATTAAACAAAGTTTACATGTTTGTTGCTGTAATGATGGATACTACGTTTTCCTACATTTTCATCAAAGAAAGTTACTGTATATTACAAATAAAATCACAAAAATTTCTGAGACCAGAACGGATTAATTGCATTTGCATTCATTTCTATGGGAAAAATTGCTTCGGTTAACGAACAATTCAGTTAACGAACGGAGTCGCGGAATGAATTAAGTTCGTTAACCGGGGTTCCACTGTATTTTACTTCTAGCACTTTCGTTATATTAATTTACAGGTAACCCCCGTATAACACGGTAGTTACGTTCCAAAAAATTGCCGTGTTATGCGAATCCGTGTTATACAAAACAAAGAACTAGTACGAAAAGGATGATTAGGTTCCAAAAATTAAAAAAACATGCTATTATATTTTCATAATTAAGAGAAATATCTGTATTAAAATTTTCTTAAGTGATACATATTAATATAAATTAAACAATGTTTTCTTCGTCATCACTAAAAGCACTATGAAGAGTCTTAGGATGAGAGTTCCATTTTGCAGAACAATATATATGATTATAGTTCTAAATTCAAATCTCTAGAAATCAAGATCCACCAGAAGTTTTCCCCACATTAAATAGTGTTTCAATTTCACAAATGTGCAGCTAATTTTGTTTTAAATAATTTTAATTAAATTAAACAGAGAAAAAACACGAAAGAAACGAAAGGAATTTTAGCAGAACTTTCTTGGTCAAATCAAGTATCACTTTAATATTGTAGCCGCCAACTAAATACAGTAGTTACTTACGGGTGTAATTCATCAGATCCACGTTACAATGCACAAAGGACCTCATTTGTCTTTTAATGATTTAAAAGTATTTATGGAAATAATTTAAATGCCATTAAATAATTAATGTGTAATTACAGGTGTGTATCTTATAATGCTCATAAATTTCAATAGCGTTTTCTGGTAATTTCGAATAATTAATTGCGCCTGTGCACGAGTTAGCATACATTCATCCTAGAATGTTCTTGATTTTATTTATCGAAAACGTTTACATAAACAACGTTTCAATGAAGCATTAAATAATTCTATCGAAGAAAGTAATTGGCAAATTTTATACAGTAATACCCCGAACTTACGCGATAGGTGGGACCGAGCGGTAACCGCGTAAGTCGAATTCGCGTAAGTCGGGGTATAATTTCGCATATAAATATATACAAATAATATTTAATTGGGGCCGGAGACTAAAGAAAACAATAATTTAGAAAAAAATGTTTAATAAAATCTTAGATAATACATATGTATAACAAATTAGGTCTATATTATTTTACAATTTTTCACATTTACTTGATTATTACGCCATAATTTTAACATCGTTTCCATTTCAGCGATAATACTGTGACGTTTATGATGCTTGAATTTAAAGATTGAGCATTTTTCACAGCTTCGAGAATTTTTTCTTTGCCTTTTATAATTGTTCTGGCCGTCAATTCCGGTAGATCAAACTTCTTTGCCAATTCACAAATTTTCATTTTTGTATCGAAGTCTTTAATAATGGGTACGTTCGTAAAGTCAAACGAGTTAAACGCGTTAGTAACGAATCGTTCGAAAAGTCTAACGAAATAGGAATAACGATGACGTCATTCTCGTTTAACTCGTTCGACTTTACGAACATACCCAATGTTAACTTTACATTCCAAAGATAAAGTTTTTCTTTTCTTGTTTGATGCAGAAGAATTAGTTCTACTTCGTTTGGATGACATAGTAGAGTCTCTCGATGTCTCCGTAGATATAACAAACACAGAAATAAATAACACAAAATAAATTGTATGTGTCAATTCGACGCGACATGTCCGAACATATAAGCTGAACAATAGTGTGGGGGGTTCAAACAAAAGACGAATCGACGAGATTTGAAAATCGCGTAACTCCGGGTTCGCGCAAGTCGGGGTAGCGTAAGTCGAGGTATTACTGTATAGCATCATTTTGAGGATAGACGAAGAGAAACCTGCAGAATGAAAAACTGGAAAATTGATCGAAAGAATAGGAAAATGACTAAAAGGGAAAAGTACCAATTGGAGGAAAAAGCCAAAGGAAAAGTTGGACAAATGCTTAGAAAATTGGGAAGTTCAAAATTTCACACGGATAGGTTCGGCGAATTCTGAAGGAACGTCAAATGATTCTCAAGAAGTGAAAATCTGCTCCAAAATATGGTGTGTCCCAAATTAAACTTGGCATTTACCAGCTGGCTACAGAAATACAATTCATCAGAAAGTCATGAAAGTTTGGGAATGCCTTAAGGATGCACACATGCGGCGCGGCAAGGAAAAGCGGCAGAGACGTCACTTTTTCTCGCCGCAGAAGTCGATTGAATTCTATCTTTTGCGGCGGCCACCGCCAAGACGCGTTTCTATCAGCCAATAACAGTACATCTGACAATCAGGAGAGAAAATAGAATCACGTGGTGTTTTAATGGCAGAAAGTGGACGTGGTCAACTGAGATAACTGACATTAGAATAAACACGAAAACATAATAAATTTAACACAAATAATCATATATCATTTAATTCAAAACGAATCTTACTCGAAATAGTAGTCTTTATCGAGGAATAAGCGTTATTTTGTACACCACTTCTTTCTCGATCAAACAAAATACTGTATCGCTAACCCAAAATCTTCGTTCTAATCTTCTAGCTAAATAAAGCAAACCGTACAAACCAAAATTTGTGAACACGTGGTTACTGCTGTGTCGTTATCGTTCGCCATCTTAGATACTGTACGCATTAGCCGAAATCTAAGCAGATTGCCGCCTTTGTTGTTGTGCTACCGCGCGGAAAAGATACGTTTGCGACACCGCTTTTCGTTGCGGTGCCTCATATGTGCATCCTCCTTTAATGAGATTATAGGAATTTATTAGGTTATTGACCAAATGAATAATAATAATGTATACTGTTAATGTAAATAATAATTTATATTTTTAATTTAATTGTGCGAAATACGACACACGACAGAGGCGCCCCTAGTGGCCGTTTTTCGCATAACGTTACACTGACGGACGGACACGCGTTCAATGTGTTATATACTGTATATAGAAGATATGCCTCAAATGCACTAGCACGCGACTCATATTGATCAACGCGAGTGTGGTCATGTGCGGACGGGCTAGAGTGTTAGAGAGTATGCGGTACGAGTCGAAGTTTGTTCGGCGGCTCTATCTCATAAACTCATAAGTTATAAGGCTGCTTGAGATGAGGTGAAATTGGAGTTTATGTCCGAAGAGCCGCTCCTGCCGACCCCTGGTATAGGCTAATGGCGTTTCGTTTAACGAATCGAATCCAATAACTGTACTTATATATATACAGTATATACATATCATAAATATAGAAATATAATTCATAATTATAATTTAAATTTTAAAGAAATACAACATGTTTAGTAAAAAATTTAATAAAATACATTAATTTTTACAGGATTTTTCAAAAGAACTTTTCACATCCTTTGTCTTTTTCTTTTCTATAAATAAAAAATTTGGAATAAGAATGTTTTAAGTATTTGAAAATAATTATTTTCATATTTTCTGATTGTTTTTAGTTAGCACTATTTAAATATCAACAATTTCACATTAAAGGATAATTACATTCCAATATTTCAAAATAAGCATTTATGAGTATAAAGCAGTTTAAGTACTAGGACATAACGCTGCTTTCTGAAAGTTTAATAATGAAATACAAAATAGTTAAAATACATTGTTTAACCTGATGAACAATCAGAAAATAAAAAATTTATTATTATTAAAAAATTATTTCAAAAAACAGTTTCTTACTTTTTACTTTGGAATTGAATTCTGCAGAAGCATTATGCTTGGATTTTCTTTTAAGCTTTGAGTTTTTATTTGAAGATATTTTTTGTTTTTTATTAGAGACAACTTCCATGTTGTCCCATATTTCATTGTCAGAATCTTGCGTATCTTCTACATATTCTGTGTTCTGCGTGGACGACTTGTCTTTTGATCGTAAAGCATTATAAGCTTCTGAATGGCACAATAAGGCATTCAAACCAGATTTTAAATACATCTGAAAAATTTTTTGTTACTTTAATCTGAATTTTTTGCAAAGTCTATTATAATGTATAATTTAATTAAAATAATATAATGAAACTTGTATAATGTAGTAAAATAAGAATAAATTATATATTTAATAGTTAACTACTAATTATGTAGAATTCATCTTAAAAATATGGGAAAGGTTCAGGAAAACAAGAAAAATATTGTACTTGAAATTTGTTGTAGTTATTAAATATAATCAAAATTATACAAATAATACATAAAAAATAAACATTTTCATTATAAAATTATCGATGAAAAGTTTAAGATTTTCAAATATAATTTAATTATCTGTAATAATATTTAAAATTCTTGTAAATGATATTAAATCCTTGTTACATATAGCGATATACCTAAATTATATCATTATATATTTATTAATAAATAATATTCAAGATATCATTTATTTAAAAAATCTTAAAATGTAGAGAGAATTTTTTGTGAACAAAGGAAATTTTTTTAAAAAACTTACATTTCTTTTTAATGTTCATAAGAAGAAATTTTATTTAAAAAAGAAAATAATAATACAATATTCCCTTTATTCTAAGATAAACAATTTTTCATACTTTAATGCCTTACATTTGATTTGTTGTTGAATAAATTTCACCAGTGTGATAACTATATAATAATAATTTTCATGACTTGCAAGTGTAAATTTTATCATCTTTGTTGATTTACTTTCATTTCTATTATGCATTGATAATACTACATATACAGTATTCAATTCAAAATTTAAATTTAGATCCTATTTGTCAATTGTCTACAAAGAGATTGAATTATGATGTAATACTGTAACAAAAATATTACTGTATACGTGCAAAAGAGCACAAAAATAATGCTGGAATACTGTACATAAATAGAGAGGTTGCGGCCAAAGTTTAAACAAAATATTAAACTTGTATGGCAAGCAGAAGTACACTTTTGATGTTTGTTCCAAGTAAAACAAATTGCGCCACACGTTCACGTCACACACTGACTCATGGGATATTGTTGAAAATGGCAGAAACGTTTAACGACGACGAATATTTACCAGCAAAGGTAAATAAACAATTTAAAGTATTTATAGGATGTTTAATAACACTAAATAATTATTTTTAATTAGCGTTGTGTCTCCTACTGTACAATAGAACTACCTCATACTTTTGTTGAGGAAAGTAGTGGCTTATGTAAATCTGAAAGCAACTCGTAAAATTTCTAGAAAATTTACAAACATATTACAGTGTTGATGGTAGAAGATGCTGTGAAAGAACAAACCTACTCCTACAGAATTATGAGAAGCTATTATGAACAGAAATATATGTAAAATTCTATAGGCAATTCACACCACTTGCAAAAAAATTGAATAATTAAATAATTTCTGGATTAAAGTTGTCTGTTTCTTTACATTATTATTCATAAATGCTTAAATAATCATTATTTTAATAAAATATGTCATAATTTTAACCCCAAACACAAAAAAATGAAGAAGTTTAAGCCGATCTTCTACTCACCATGCTAGACATAACAAACGTTATTATAAACCTTCTAGAATTGCCAGATGGCGGCGCTTGACATCCGACGTTCACATTTTGGGATGAAAACGTCAGCCGCAACCTCTCTAATAAATGAATACACTATCTTTATCAAATAGTTTATTTTGTAAAAATGCATTCAGCCTCAGCTTATTTGACATTAATAAAATGAAACATTTGTAAATATTCAGTTTTATTAACATCAAACATAATATAAATTGTGAATTTAATGTAAATTTAGCATAATATTTTCAGAATAAATGAATAAAGTTATAATTAAGCATTAATTATTTTTAAACTATACTTCATTTATATGTAGCATTTTTGTAATAGTCAATTATGATGATAACTGACCATTACAAACAATGGTTTGATAAGATAATCTATGTATTATAATGCTATTTTTTAACTCAATAATTATACTAAAAATTTCTCATAAATTTTATGTTAATATTATAACAGACCAAACCAGCTTTCTGATCTAAAACTTATGAATTTTTTTAAACAAGTTTTTAATACATTCTTAAACTATACAGATTCAAGAAAAATTCATTTTTCTTAAAAATACATTTTATTAAAAAAAAACACTTAATTTATTTTTATATCAATTATCTTAAAAAGTTTTAAGTGTAAAAAAATTCAGTCAATATACCTTAGTTTTTAATTCATGTGTATCAAGATCATGTATTCGAAGGAATCTATCTAACCCACAAGAATAAACTTGGGAATGAACAGGATCAAACTGTATGTCTCTGATACTCCCTGCAAATCCTTTGTATACATGTACCATTGCCTTTTTTCTAAGATCAATTAATGCCATTCTTCCTTGAGTATTTCCAACAAGAATTTGACTATTATAATATAAAAACATTATATTAGAAATAAAATTTTTACTTCTTACAGTATATAAAAAATAAGTAATGAATTATTTATTGTAATTTTATTCCAATTTTAATATGCATTTCTAGAGGCTGTTACGAAATTCTACCAAAGTCCTGCCAGATAAATTCCAAATGAGACAGAATTCTACCATCCTAGTTTCCAACTAAGAAAAAATATATACAACATGTTTACTTTAATATTTATCCAGTTGGAAAAGAGATCTTTTCGGCATTGCACAAGTATATGCATACGATACATTTGTCCCACTGCAATATTTACAATAAAATAAATAAATTCATTCAAAAAATAAACATGTTTAAATTGCATAGTACTTCTGCAGCAATATGTAAATATTCCCTGTATCTCCCAAGTGCAAAGATAGTGGAAGGAAATCATTTTAAGAAAATTTAGTATAACGTATAAAAAAATCACTGACTATAAAGAATAAACACTAACACTGCATAGATTAATACTAAAGTTAGCTTTATTCTGCTATAGTACTTGTATTTATTCACAATATCTTGGTCTTGGTACAGCTGGAAAGTGCTCTTGAAATTTACTTCCTTGCTTCTTGTGTGTCATCACATGATTTGTGAATATTGCATTTTTTTTCTTATATTTAAAAAATTTATGTATTGCTATGGAACTTCCATACAATCAACATGTTTCTTTTTGAATTAATTTATTTTACCATAAATACTTGTAGTAGAATTAATGCAGTATATGCATAAACTCATACAATGATGAAAAGACATTTTTGCACCTGGATAATTCTTAAAGTGAACACACTGTTTTTTTCTTTCAGAGGAAATTAAGACAGTACAATTCTGTCTTGTTAGAAATTTATCTAATATGATTTCATTTGCTAGGATCCTGTCTGTTAGTTTAATAGGACTCTGCAATAACTCAATTCTAGAATATTTAAAAAATATTTTACTCTGAAAAATAAGCATACAATTAGTAATCTTCATCCAATAAAGTATCAGATTAATTATACATTCGTACTTTCAGTAATCACATGTAAAATTAGTTTTATACATTATGTAGATGTGAGATATCTAAGAATATAAATGGTGAAATAAATGTTTAAAACTACATTGTTTAATTAAGTTTAGAGAAAGAAATGTATGATATTTTATTTTTCTGAAGGAATACATCTTTACAAACAATTAGAATCAGATACATCATGAATAGTATATCTAGAACAAACTGTAATCTGGCAATTATTGCAAATATTCTTTACAAAAATTTGGTCAGTGTAAAAGCTTCTAATAAAAAATAGAAAAATTATTAACTGCTGATGAATCTGTAAACATTTCTTATTTCTTGTATATGTTGTCACACATTAATGACTTGATATGAAAATGTAAAGTTATATTGATTTACAAGGTGTATTCATAAAGTTTGGGGACTTTGGGGTGAAGAATTGAATTTTGATGTGTGATACATTTATGTTTATAAAGATATTAATATCAATAATCAAAATTATTAACTTACTGTTCTTGGTTGGTGAGAGATAAAGCACCTATTGGATAAGAATCAAATTCCATATCTATAACAGGCCTTCTTTGTTTACTGCTAGGATCATAAACTCTGATCTATAATTTTAAAAAATAACAATAATAATTAATATGTAATTTCCTCTTATTGTGCTTCATTTTCAGATAAACATTATAAATATTCTAACTACATTGTAATCTATATTTGAAAATCTATACTTAATATTATAGTCAATGCTAGTAAAATATCATAAGATTTATTCTGCAAATTTAAATGTTGAAAACAATTATCCTATGAAAATATTTCTCATTATGGAATTTCTTGAATACTAAAGATATATTTTGGATGTTTAATATTAATTTCTGTAAAATTAATATTTCTAAATTATACTTTTTAGGAAGCCAAAGTAAATATTTATTAATAGAAATCTTTTATGTTGTCATCAATTACTATTTAAAACAAAATATTTTTATTAATAGTTAAACTCACTAGTTATATGTTTAATAATGCTTTACATTATTCTACAGATCCTATTTAATATCTCTTCTAAAAGTATAATTTTGTTAGCAAGTTCATAATTTCAAACATACTTTTAGTAAACAAGTCCTTAAAGATATAAATATTTTGAATTAAATGTTTTTTGAGATAAACCTCACATTTCAGATGCCATTATACTTACTTGTTTTGTGACAATTATTTCTAACTCTTAATCCTTAATATCTGACATAATCTTTTAGAATCTGACATAATAAGTGAAGATTTTTTCTATTCTAACTCAACATTTTTATTCAAAGCACTTTCTACAAAGGCTAAATTAATTTGAACTTTGACTAAATCTTCTCTGTATTCTTTTATCCTTCAGTATAATTTCCATATATACTATTTCTACCTACATACTATTTCTTTTTTTCACTTAGAAGACTGAATAAGAAACTTATATACTTGATTGCTTTTTTGAAGATATTGCCTCTCTCTTATTTTTTATTAGGTGATATATCATTATTATTTCTCAATATGTCACTATTGTCACTATTTTTCTGGGACATACATGTCTTTATTTATTTTTAAACATAAAGACTTTGACATAAGCAGGTCACCTTTTCCTTTTCTTTATCATCCTTGTGTGGTTGTCCTGATCCTTTGTTGTTCTTTAGTTGCTACCTTAATTGGCTTATAAAGTTATTTTTATGCTTTTTTGTATATCTAAAATAATCTGATGTTCATTTTATGTATTCCAATTCTTTTCATTCTTCTGTATTCTTAGTCATATAAAACTGTTTTTAAGAGAACTTTAAGTGTTGGATTTTTATATATGAATTGGCCGTTAAAAGAGGCAATAGAGAAATGTAAGAAATATATAAATGGTGTGTATTAAAATTTAAACCAAACAACAAAAATAATGTGGTGTGTTTGATCAAACAAGTTTGAAATTATGATTTTATATAAAATTATATCATCATCAACTGTTACATTGACCATTTTTGATTAAAATAAATTTTATTTTGACTGCTGAAAATACATATATAATATTTATATTATTATATAAATAATGAATTTAATTATGAAAATTATAAAATATTTAATAAGGTATTAAATAAAATTTTAAGATGTTTAATTGTACTACATTCTAATACCTTAAGATAGTCAAGTAATCAATTGAAAATATTACATTTATTATATGAAGAATTCAATATTTGACTCATCCTTTTCTGTATTGTACAGTAATTCTGTCTTATAGCATTAATAAAAATTCAATTTTTAATGTAAATAATAAACAACTGTTTCTCTTTGCACTTAATATTTCTAGAATGAGTGCATGTGAGATTCTTCTGTGAATTATATTATGAAAAATATTATAAAAACTTACTTGATGATGACCTGTAGTAGTTACTATCTTTTCACTATCTGGGAAAAATTTCATATTTAATACCCATACAGGTACTCGAAGATCTAGAAAGTTATCTCTGACCTGAAAGATGGTTTCAAAATATTGTATTTTTTTTTTTTTTTTTTTTATAAATTATAGATCTTCCANTTTTCCTACATTTTCATCAAAGAAAATTACTGTATATTACAAATAAAATCACAAAAATTTCTGAGACCAGAACAGATTAATTGCATTTGCATTCATTTCTATGGGAAAAATTGCTTCGGTTAACGAACAATTCAGTTAACGAACGGAGTCGCGGAATGAATTAAGTTCGTTAACCGGGGTTCCACTGTATTTTACTTCTAGCACTTTCGTTATATTAATTTACAGGTAACCCCCGTATAACACGGTAGTTACGTTCCAAAAAATTGCCGTGTTATGCGAATCCGTGTTATACGGATCAAAGAACTAGTACGAAAAGGATGATTAGGTTCCAAAAATTAAAAAAACATGCTATTATATTTTCATAATTAAGAGAAATATCTGTATTAAAATTTTCTTAAGTGATACATATTAATATAAATTAAACAATGTTTTCTTCGTCATCACTAAAAGCACTATGAAGAGTCTTAGGATGAGAGTTCCATTTTGCAGAACAATATATATGATTATAGTTCTAAATTCAAATCTCTAGAAATCAAGATCCACCAGAAGTTTTCCCCACATTAAATAGTGTTTCAATTTCACAAATGTGCAGCTAATTTTGTTTTAAATAATTTTAATTAAATTAAACAGAGAAAAAACACGAAAGAAACGAAAGGAATTTTAGCAGAACTTTCTTGGTCAAATCAAGTATCACTTTAATATTGTAGCCGCCAACTAAATACAGTAGTTACTTACGGGTGTAATTCATCACATCCACGTTACAATGCACAAAGGACCTCATTTGTCTTTTAATGATTTAAAAGTATTTATGGAAATAATTTAAATGCCATTAAATAATTAATGTGTAATTACAGGTGTGTATCTTATAATGCTCATAAATTTCAATAGCGTTTTCTGGTAATTTCGAATAATTAATTGCGCCTGTGCACGAGTTAGCATACATTCATCCTAGAATGTTCTTGATTTTATTTATCGAAAACGTTTACATAAACAACGTTTCAATGAAGCATTAAATAATTCTATCGAAGAAAGTAATTGGCAAATTTTATACAGTAATACCCCGAACTTACGCGATAGGTGGGACCGAGCGGTAACCGCGTAAGTCGAATTCGCGTAAGTCGGGGTATAATTTCGCATATAAATATATACAAATAATATTTAATTGGGGCCGGAGACTAAAGAAAACAATAATTTAGAAAAAAATGTTTAATAAAATCTTAGATAATACATATGTATAACAAATTAGGTCTATATTATTTTACAATTTTTCACATTTACTTGATTATTACGCCATAATTTTAACATTGTTTCCATCTCAGCGATAATACTGTGACGTTTACGAATGATGCTTGAATTTAAAGATTGAGCATTTTTCACAGCTTCGAGAATTTTTTCTTTGCCTTTTATAATTGTTCTGACCGACAATTCCGGTAGATCAAACTTCTTTGCCAATTCACAAATTTTCATTTTTGTATCGAAGTCTTTAATAATGGGTACGTTCGTAAAGTCAAACGAGTTAAACGCGTTAGTAACGAATCGTTCGAAAAGTCTAACGAAATAGGAATAACGATGACGTCATTCTCGTTTAACTCGTTCGACTTTACGAACATACCCAATGTTAACTTTACATTCCAAAGATAAAGTTTTTCTTTTCTTGTTTGATGCAGAAGAATTAGTTCTACTTCGTTTGGATGACATAGTAGAGTCTCTCGATGTCTCCGTAGATATAACAAACACAGAAATAAATAACACAAAATAAATTGTATGTGTCAATTCGACGCGACATGTCCGAACATATAAGCTGAACAATAGTGTGGGGGGTTCAAACAAAAGACGAATCGACGAGATTTGAAAATCGCGTAACTCCGGGTTCGCGCAAGTCGGGGTAGCGTAAGTCGAGGTATTACTGTATAGCATCATTTTGAGGATAGACGAAGAGAAACCTGCAGAATGAAAAACTGGAAAATTGATCGAAAGAATAGGAAAATGACTAAAAGGGAAAAGTACCAATTGGAGGAAAAAGCCAAAGGAAAAGTTGGACAAATGCTTAGAAAATTGGGAAGTTCAAAATTTCACACGGATAGGTTCGGCGAATTCTGAAGGAACGTCAAATGATTCTCAAGAAGTGAAAATCTGCTCCAAAATATGGTGTGTCCCAAATTAAACTTGGCATTTACCAGCTGGCTACAGAAATACAATTCATCAGAAAGTCATGAAAGTTTGGGAATGCCTTAAGGATGCACACATGCGGCGCGGCAAGGAAAAGCGGCAGAGACGTCACTTTTTCTCGCCGCAGAAGTCGATTGAATTCTATCTTTTGCGGCGGCCACCGCCAAGACGCGTTTCTATCAGCCAATAACAGTACATCTGACAATCAGGAGAGAAAATAGAATCACGTGGTGTTTTAATGGCAGAAAGTGGACGTGGTCAACTGAGATAACTGACATTAGAATAAACACGAAAACATAATAAATTTAACACAAATAATCATATATCATTTAATTCAAAACGAATCTTACTCGAAATAGTAGTCTTTATCGAGGAATAAGCGTTATTTTGTACACCACTTCTTTCTCGATCAAACAAAATACTGTATCGCTAACCCAAAATCTTCGTTCTAATCTTCTAGCTAAATAAAGCAAACCGTACAAACCAAAATTTGTGAACACGTGGTTACTGCTGTGTCGTTATCGTTCGCCATCTTAGATACTGTACGCATTAGCCGAAATCTAAGCAGATTGCCGCCTTTGTTGTTGTGCTACCGCGCGGAAAAGATACGTTTGCGACACCGCTTTTCGTTGCGGTGCCTCATATGTGCATCCTCCTTTAATGAGATTATAGGAATTTATTAGGTTATTGACCAAATGAATAATAATAATGTATACTGTTAATGTAAATAATAATTTATATTTTTAATTTAATTGTGCGAAATACGACACACGACAGAGGCGCCCCTAGTGGCCGTTTTTCGCATAACGTTACACTGACGGACGGACACGCGTTCAATGTGTTATATACTGTATATAGAAGATATGCCTCAAATGCACTAGCACGCGACTCATATTGATCAACGCGAGTGTGGTCATGTGCGGACGGGCTAGAGTGTTAGAGAGTATGCGGTACGAGTCGAAGTTTGTTCGGCGGCTCTATCTCATAAACTCATAAGTTATAAGGCTGCTTGAGATGAGGTGAAATTGGAGTTTATGTCCGAAGAGCCGCTCCTGCCGACCCCTGGTATAGGCTAATGGCGTTTCGTTTAACGAATCGAATCCAATAACTGTACTTATATATATACAGTATATACATATCATAAATATAGAAATATAATTCATAATTATAATTTAAATTTTAAAGAAATACAACATGTTTAGTAAAAAATTTAATAAAATACATTAATTTTTACAGGATTTTTCAAAAGAACTTTTCACATCCTTTGTCTTTTTCTTTTCTATAAATAAAAAATTTGGAATAAGAATGTTTTAAGTATTTGAAAATAATTATTTTCATATTTTCTGATTGTTTTTAGTTAGCACTATTTAAATATCAACAATTTCACATTAAAGGATAATTACATTCCAATATTTCAAAATAAGCATTTATGAGTATAAAGCAGTTTAAGTACTAGGACATAACGCTGCTTTCTGAAAGTTTAATAATGAAATACAAAATAGTTAAAATACATTGTTTAACCTGATGAACAATCAGAAAATAAAAAATTTATTATTATTAAAAAATTATTTCAAAAAACAGTTTCTTACTTTTTACTTTGGAATTGAATTCTGCAGAAGCATTATGCTTGGATTTTCTTTTAAGCTTTGAGTTTTTATTTGAAGATATTTTTTGTTTTTTATTAGAGACAACTTCCATGTTGTCCCATATTTCATTGTCAGAATCTTGCGTATCTTCTACATATTCTGTGTTCTGCGTGGACGACTTGTCTTTTGATCGTAAAGCATTATAAGCTTCTGAATGGCACAATAAGGCATTCAAACCAGATTTTAAATACATCTGAAAAATTTTTTGTTACTTTAATCTGAATTTTTTGCAAAGTCTATTATAATGTATAATTTAATTAAAATAATATAATGAAACTTGTATAATGTAGTAAAATAAGAATAAATTATATATTTAATAGTTAACTACTAATTATGTAGAATTCATCTTAAAAATATGGGAAAGGTTCAGGAAAACAAGAAAAATATTGTACTTGAAATTTGTTGTAGTTATTAAATATAATCAAAATTATACAAATAATACATAAAAAATAAACATTTTCATTATAAAATTATCGATGAAAAGTTTAAGATTTTCAAATATAATTTAATTATCTGTAATAATATTTAAAATTCTTGTAAATGATATTAAATCCTTGTTACATATAGCGATATACCTAAATTATATCATTATATATTTATTAATAAATAATATTCAAGATATCATTTATTTAAAAAATCTTAAAATGTAGAGAGAATTTTTTGTGAACAAAGGAAATTTTTTTAAAAAACTTACATTTCTTTTTAATGTTCATAAGAAGAAATTTTATTTAAAAAAGAAAATAATAATACAATATTCCCTTTATTCTAAGATAAACAATTTTTCATACTTTAATGCCTTACATTTGATCTGTTGTTGAATAAATTTCACCAGTGTGATAACTATATAATAATAATTTTCATGACTTGCAAGTGTAAATTTTATCATCTTTGTTGATTTACTTTCATTTCTATTATGCATTGATAATACTACATATACAGTATTCAATTCAAAATTTAAATTTAGATCCTATTTGTCAATTGTCTACAAAGAGATTGAATTATGATGTAATACTGTAACAAAAATATTACTGTATACGTGCAAAAGAGCACAAAAATAATGCTGGAATACTGTACATAAATAGAGAGGTTGCGGCCAAAGTTTAAACAAAATATTAAACTTGTATGGCAAGCAGAAGTACACTTTTGATGTTTGTTCCAAGTAAAACAAATTGCGCCACACGTTCACGTCACACACTGACTCATGGGATATTGTTGAAAATGGCAGAAACGTTTAACGACGACGAATATTTACCAGCAAAGGTAAATAAACAATTTAAAGTATTTATAGGATGTTTAATAACACTAAATAATTATTTTTAATTAGCGTTGTGTCTCCTACTGTACAATAGAACTACCTCATACTTTTGTTGAGGAAAGTAGTGGCTTATGTAAATCTGAAAGCAACTCGTAAAATTTCTAGAAAATTTACAAACATATTACAGTGTTGATGGTAGAAGATGCTGTGAAAGAACAAACCTACTCCTACAGAATTATGAGAAGCTATTATGAACAGAAATATATGTAAAATTCTATAGGCAATTCACACCACTTGCAAAAAAATTGAATAATTAAATAATTTCTGGATTAAAGTTGTCTGTTTCTTTACATTATTATTCATAAATGCTTAAATAATCATTATTTTAATAAAATATGTCATAATTTTAACCCCAAACACAAAAAAATGAAGAAGTTTAAGCCGATCTTCTACTCACCATGCTAGACATAACAAACGTTATTATAAACCTTCTAGAATTGCCAGATGGCGGCGCTTGACATCCGACGTTCACATTTTGGGATGAAAACGTCAGCCGCAACCTCTCTAATAAATGAATACACTATCTTTATCAAATAGTTTATTTTGTAAAAATGCATTCAGCCTCAGCTTATTTGACATTAATAAAATGAAACATTTGTAAATATTCAGTTTTATTAACATCAAACATAATATAAATTGTGAATTTAATGTAAATTTAGCATAATATTTTCAGAATAAATGAATAAAGTTATAATTAAGCATTAATTATTTTTAAACTATACTTCATTTATATGTAGCATTTTTGTAATAGTCAATTATGATGATAACTGACCATTACAAACAATGGTTTGATAAGATAATCTATGTATTATAATGCTATTTTTTAACTCAATAATTATACTAAAAATTTCTCATAAATTTTATGTTAATATTATAACAGACCAAACCAGCTTTCTGATCTAAAACTTATGAATTTTTTTAAACAAGTTTTTAATACATTCTTAAACTATACAGATTCAAGAAAAATTCATTTTTCTTAAAAATACATTTTATTAAAAAAAAACACTTAATTTATTTTTATATCAATTATCTTAAAAAGTTTTAAGTGTAAAAAAATTCAGTCAATATACCTTAGTTTTTAATTCATGTGTATCAAGATCATGTATTCGAAGGAATCTATCTAACCCACAAGAATAAACTTGGGAATGAACAGGATCAAACTGTATGTCTCTGATACTCCCTGCAAATCCTTTGTATACATGTACCATTGCCTTTTTTCTAAGATCAATTAATGCCATTCTTCCTTGAGTATTTCCAACAAGAATTTGACTATTATAATATAAAAACATTATATTAGAAATAAAATTTTTACTTCTTACAGTATATAAAAAATAAGTAATGAATTATTTATTGTAATTTTATTCCAATTTTAATATGCATTTCTAGAGGCTGTTACGAAATTCTACCAAAGTCCTGCCAGATAAATTCCAAATGAGACAGAATTCTACCATCCTAGTTTCCAACTAAGAAAAAATATATACAACATGTTTACTTTAATATTTATCCAGTTGGAAAAGAGATCTTTTCGGCATTGCACAAGTATATGCATACGATACATTTGTCCCACTGCAATATTTACAATAAAATAAATAAATTCATTCAAAAAATAAACATGTTTAAATTGCATAGTACTTCTGCAGCAATATGTAAATATTCCCTGTATCTCCCAAGTGCAAAGATAGTGGAAGGAAATCATTTTAAGAAAATTTAGTATAACGTATAAAAAAATCACTGACTATAAAGAATAAACACTAACACTGCATAGATTAATACTAAAGTTAGCTTTATTCTGCTATAGTACTTGTATTTATTCACAATATCTTGGTCTTGGTACAGCTGGAAAGTGCTCTTGAAATTTACTTCCTTGCTTCTTGTGTGTCATCACATGATTTGTGAATATTGCATTTTTTTTCTTATATTTAAAAAATTTATGTATTGCTATGGAACTTCCATACAATCAACATGTTTCTTTTTGAATTAATTTATTTTACCATAAATACTTGTAGTAGAATTAATGCAGTATATGCATAAACTCATACAATGATGAAAAGACATTTTTGCACCTGGATAATTCTTAAAGTGAACACACTGTTTTTTTCTTTCAGAGGAAATTAAGACAGTACAATTCTGTCTTGTTAGAAATTTATCTAATATGATTTCATTTGCTAGGATCCTGTCTGTTAGTTTAATAGGACTCTGCAATAACTCAATTCTAGAATATTTAAAAAATATTTTACTCTGAAAAATAAGCATACAATTAGTAATCTTCATCCAATAAAGTATCAGATTAATTATACATTCGTACTTTCAGTAATCACATGTAAAATTAGTTTTATACATTATGTAGATGTGAGATATCTAAGAATATAAATGGTGAAATAAATGTTTAAAACTACATTGTTTAATTAAGTTTAGAGAAAGAAATGTATGATATTTTATTTTTCTGAAGGAATACATCTTTACAAACAATTAGAATCAGATACATCATGAATAGTATATCTAGAACAAACTGTAATCTGGCAATTATTGCAAATATTCTTTACAAAAATTTGGTCAGTGTAAAAGCTTCTAATAAAAAATAGAAAAATTATTAACTGCTGATGAATCTGTAAACATTTCTTATTTCTTGTATATGTTGTCACACATTAATGACTTGATATGAAAATGTAAAGTTATATTGATTTACAAGGTGTATTCATAAAGTTTGGGGACTTTGGGGTGAAGAATTGAATTTTGATGTGTGATACATTTATGTTTATAAAGATATTAATATCAATAATCAAAATTATTAACTTACTGTTCTTGGTTGGTGAGAGATAAAGCACCTATTGGATAAGAATCAAATTCCATATCTATAACAGGCCTTCTTTGTTTACTGCTAGGATCATAAACTCTGATCTATAATTTTAAAAAATAACAATAATAATTAATATGTAATTTCCTCTTATTGTGCTTCATTTTCAGATAAACATTATAAATATTCTAACTACATTGTAATCTATATTTGAAAATCTATACTTAATATTATAGTCAATGCTAGTAAAATATCATAAGATTTATTCTGCAAATTTAAATGTTGAAAACAATTATCCTATGAAAATATTTCTCATTATGGAATTTCTTGAATACTAAAGATATATTTTGGATGTTTAATATTAATTTCTGTAAAATTAATATTTCTAAATTATACTTTTTAGGAAGCCAAAGTAAATATTTATTAATAGAAATCTTTTATGTTGTCATCAATTACTATTTAAAACAAAATATTTTTATTAATAGTTAAACTCACTAGTTATATGTTTAATAATGCTTTACATTATTCTACAGATCCTATTTAATATCTCTTCTAAAAGTATAATTTTGTTAGCAAGTTCATAATTTCAAACATACTTTTAGTAAACAAGTCCTTAAAGATATAAATATTTTGAATTAAATGTTTTTTGAGATAAACCTCACATTTCAGATGCCATTATACTTACTTGTTTTGTGACAATTATTTCTAACTCTTAATCCTTAATATCTGACATAATCTTTTAGAATCTGACATAATAAGTGAAGATTTTTTCTATTCTAACTCAACATTTTTATTCAAAGCACTTTCTACAAAGGCTAAATTAATTTGAACTTTGACTAAATCTTCTCTGTATTCTTTTATCCTTCAGTATAATTTCCATATATACTATTTCTACCTACATACTATTTCTTTTTTTCACTTAGAAGACTGAATAAGAAACTTATATACTTGATTGCTTTTTTGAAGATATTGCCTCTCTCTTATTTTTTATTAGGTGATATATCATTATTATTTCTCAATATGTCACTATTGTCACTATTTTTCTGGGACATACATGTCTTTATTTATTTTTAAACATAAAGACTTTGACATAAGCAGGTCACCTTTTCCTTTTCTTTATCATCCTTGTGTGGTTGTCCTGATCCTTTGTTGTTCTTTAGTTGCTACCTTAATTGGCTTATAAAGTTATTTTTATGCTTTTTTGTATATCTAAAATAATCTGATGTTCATTTTATGTATTCCAATTCTTTTCATTCTTCTGTATTCTTAGTCATATAAAACTGTTTTTAAGAGAACTTTAAGTGTTGGATTTTTATATATGAATTGGCCGTTAAAAGAGGCAATAGAGAAATGTAAGAAATATATAAATGGTGTGTATTAAAATTTAAACCAAACAACAAAAATAATGTGGTGTGTTTGATCAAACAAGTTTGAAATTATGATTTTATATAAAATTATATCATCATCAACTGTTACATTGACCATTTTTGATTAAAATAAATTTTATTTTGACTGCTGAAAATACATATATAATATTTATATTATTATATAAATAATGAATTTAATTATGAAAATTATAAAATATTTAATAAGGTATTAAATAAAATTTTAAGATGTTTAATTGTACTACATTCTAATACCTTAAGATAGTCAAGTAATCAATTGAAAATATTACATTTATTATATGAAGAATTCAATATTTGACTCATCCTTTTCTGTATTGTACAGTAATTCTGTCTTATAGCATTAATAAAAATTCAATTTTTAATGTAAATAATAAACAACTGTTTCTCTTTGCACTTAATATTTCTAGAATGAGTGCATGTGAGATTCTTCTGTGAATTATATTATGAAAAATATTATAAAAACTTACTTGATGATGACCTGTAGTAGTTACTATCTTTTCACTATCTGGGAAAAATTTCATATTTAATACCCATACAGGTACTCGAAGATCTAGAAAGTTATCTCTGACCTGAAAGATGGTTTCAAAATATTGTATTTTTTTTTTTTTTTTTTTATAAATTTTAAAATTATCAATTTTATATTTTAAAAAATTATTACATTTTTTGCATGAAATATTGGTTTTTTAGATTTCTGTAAATCCCATATTTTCAGATCATTTTCTTGTCCACCTGATGCAATAATTCCCGATTTAAAAGGATTTGTTGCCATTCGACATAAATTTGGACCTGCATTAATTTCAATCTTTAGAAAGTAAAAATCATTGATTACAATAGTTTTGTATTCAATTATTTTGTAACAAACTTTTATTTAAAAAACAAAATAAGATAAATACCATCTTTTCATTATTTTTTTCATTCCAAACATTAATAATCCCAGATTCCACACATGTCAAAAGACTGGAAAAAAAAATAATAAAATTTATTTTTTAATACTAATAAATTTAATTTAAATTCTAACTTTTGTATATATTTTAATTATCTGATCCATTTCTATTCAAAATTTTTCAGTTATGATTAAATATTTAAAAATTGTTTTATGTATGATTTAATGATTATCATTAAAAAATATAATTTACATGAAATTATCTATTAACTAAATACAAAATAAACACAATTACATAATGATCTTGTCAAACTGTCAAAAAGATGTTTTATATCACAAAATTTAATGCAAATATTAATATTTTTACAAAGATATCATCAATAACTGCAAAATAAACACATTGAAACTAAAAATATCCAGCAAGAACAAACTTTAATTAACAAAACAAATGTTTATGATAGTTTCAAATAATCATCATCAGGTTAAGTCACAAGAGAATGTAAAAAAGAAGATAGACGAAATTCTGAATTTGATAAACATTTAGTTCATTAAAGTTTTTTCATGCTGGAAAATTTTTGGTTTCAGTATGTTTATTTTGACAGTATCACATCCAGTACTTCAGTGTTGTTGTATTAATAATTGCATTATTTATTATTATTTAATAAATTTTCAAATATATTGTTCAAATAACATGATACATAGAGAAAAATTTCAAACTTGATTTAATTTCATTATTGTTTCTATTACATTATTTTATCTGCATTGTAAAATCTTTGCTATAGTCCATACCAGTATATCTTCATAAAATAGAATAAATTTTAAAAACATTTAAGATTTATCAAGATACTTATTAATCTTATTATCAAAATATCTAATAAGATAATTAGATTGTCTATATAAAGAAAGTGGAATGTATTTAATTTTAACACTTCATTTACATTAATAGCCTTTTGACATTTATAATTTTGTAAAATTTGTTTAAGATTACGTCAATAAATCCAATATTCTACTAATATTATTTTGTATGTTATGGATACATAACTTACAGCAGAGATAAAAAGATCCATTTACATCAAAACTTGTTTAAAAAATTTTCCTTAAATACAATATCTTTAATAGAAAATATACTGTAGTTGTAATATTAACTATAAACTATACAACTATAGAATAGCTAAATCAATATGATAAATATTACTTTTACAGCAATTTGTTTTCACAATTGTGAATCTGATACATGTTAAAATAAGATTTAAATATAAATATTATGGAGACTAGTAAATAGGAAGATCTTAAAACAAATATTTGTAATTAAATTTTATATATATATAAAAAATTTGATTTTAGATTTCCAATTATAACTGAATATTTTTTACATATAATATTTAAGAAAATTGAAGTAAGAACAATTTCAAAATAATTCCTTATATATTATCATGTAGGTGTATGTTTTATTTATCTTTTAGAATCTTAAATTAATAAGCAATAATAATGATATTAAAATCATTGTTTATATTAACATGACTTTGTAGCAAATTTTTATGCAATACACAAAAACAAACAAAAGTAATAAAATTAAATTTTTGGATTGTCACTAGTGATTATAAATGACATAAAATGAAGACAATTTTGTATATTCAACAAATATATTTTTATATTTTAATGCAAATAAATTCTTATTTAATATTCATTATAATTAGGTAAATATTTAATCATAGTAGTTTACAAAACATGTCTTTCAACAAAAAGGAAAAAATCCTTGATATCCAATAGGGATAACCAGATGGGAAAGAATTAAGGTGTCAGCCCACACTCTGAGGATCCAGAAACAAATCTGGACAGGTTAAAATCCCCAGAAACTTTTGGGGACAATTTGTTCTGTATATGTCAGGCTCCGCCCCTCACCACCCAGCCACCCAATTGTAAACCTGGCCAAACCCACTGGCTTGACAAAAAGGTCCTCTTAGTTCCTACACAGTCAACTTGCCTTAAAACAAACATCAATAAAGCAAATTTCTTGTTTTAATGCAAATTTTGCCATTGTCCTGGAAAACTGCCATTGACCCAACATTAATTTTCAGATGATAAAACAAACAAAAGTTTTACCCATATTCATTAAACTGAACTGTAAATTATCTTCACAACTCCCAACTTCCAATAACAGTTGCTTTTTACACTTTTTGATGTGAACAATTAAAAGTTGTACTGTAATAAATGTTTCCTTTTGAGTAAATAGTTTTTCTTGTCCTAGTAAGCAAAGATGAGTTTGACTTCCAACTGTGCGCAGAAAATAGGAGTTAAAGTTTAAGGACACTCACCTTTTTAAATGGATGTGGTTCCATGCAAACACATGCTAGTTTGCATATCAGGGTGTGTATACAGTGATGCCAGGTTTTGACTACTTTGTGCCAAATTTGGCTCCTGTTTTTTCTGTTTTAGAACCAAAAAAATATTTTATACTTTTTCAAACAATCTTCAACAGAAAAAAATCACAAGTTTCTTTTTGCTTTGTTTTGTTTAACCACTCCATGTTTAAAGAGAAACAAAACACCTTTTTTTTTAAAAACGTGTTTTGTTTCTCTTTATTTAGTTGCTGAGCGCTATTGATATTGTTGTTATGGCGGCACCGGTGGAAAATTACAAGAGGTATAGGAAGTTGGCGTTGAAGCTTGTTAAAGCTAGTTGTAAATTGGAATTTTTAAAACCATGTTTAAATGACAAATACCATCTCCTCCTCATTTTGTTTGATTTGGAAATCATTTAGAACATTAACTTGAAATATTATAATTTAAAGATTTTGATTGTCTATTAAGCCTTAACTCTCTAAATTATGTTATATAACCTTGAGCTTGATCCTGAAAATTGTTAATACAAATTTTTGGTAAAGTGAACTAACTGCAGTTCCCCCAGTGATTCATCTTAATGTGAGTTGACTGTATATATCCAGTAGCAATTTAACTGAGAACAAATTTCTTGATTGCAGTAATTGATCAGAAACATTTGTTCTCCTTTAAATTATTGCTGGTTATTACAGATTTTTTGTTTTCTTTTTGAATGTCCAGTCTCTTCCTTGTATCAATCTTTTGATATTTATGACATTCTGAACTAATTCAGGATTAATAGATTAGTTTGAGATAATTAACTAATTCAAGATTGGATTTGTTAAGCATATTAGTTCATTTCAAACCAAACATATAATCTGTATATAAATAGATGTTAAAAATTTAATTAAATACACACAGATATCTTAACACGGCATAATAAAATGATTGTACTGTACTTTCTGGCGTATAAGATGACCCCCAACTTTTGAGAAGATTTTTCTGTGTTAAAAAGTCGTCTTATATGCTGGAAAATACAGTATATATTTTTTATAATTGTATCATAAATAAATTAAGTTTGATTATTTATGATATGCTCTTCATGTATTTATAATACAATAAGTTAGCTGATAATAATCAGTTAACTTTTAATATATATTATTTCTTTTGCTTTATAGCACCCACGCTTTATAGCATGTGTATATATACATAATATAATATATTATATATATTATTTAGAGCAAAAAAAATCTTCAATTTACTTACTTATCATCATATTTTGCTATTCCCACAATCTTTCCTGATCCAGAATCTAACTTTAGTTTAATTGAATAGTCATAATCCATTGTATCAAATAATTTAACTGTTTGATTACTTAATCCTAGATATATCTGTAAAATAATCAAATTAAATAATTAATGTATTATGCAAAAATAACTGAATAAATGTTCTGAAATATATAATAAGGCATATTTAAAATATATTTAAGCAAAGTATCTTCCAAATATACAATTAAAATCAAATAACTCTTTGGAATTCACATCCACAGTATTATTTGATTTTAAAATTTAAGAAACAGAAAAATATAAATGTAATTAAACAACATATTAATCAATAGAACTCATTTCCTAAATTTAAATAAATTTTTATCTTTTTAGAAATCATAATAAATTGTGTGTGTTTTATTACTCAGCATACTACATCTGAAGTGGACTTAATTTCAAAACAGCAAAATAAAAAATATTAAAAAATTAAAAAAAAATTGGAAAAATTATATATATATATATATATATATATTTCTTT